CGCTGCTGTGCTGCTGCCGCTGCTGTGCTGCTGCCGCTGCTGCTGGTGCTGCTGCCGCCGCCGCTGCTGCTGCTGGTGCTGCCGCTGCTGCTGCTGCCGCTGCTGCTGCTGCTGCTGCTGCTGCTGGTGAAGGCAGCACCGAAAGCGCGACCCAGCCGCTTTCTGTGTTTTTATATATTTGTTGAATTTCTGTGTTTATATGTTGGGGTGTGTGTACCGCTCATCAACATTTATTAGTTGTTTATATTTTTTTTTTTTATTTATTTTGTGTTTGTAGTTTACTACCTTGATGGGGAGGACTGGGCCGATGTGATGCAGCATTGCTGCTGCTTTGCATGCATTGCTGCTGCTGCTGTTGCTGCTGCTGTTGCTGCTGCTGTTGTTGTTGCTGCTGCTGCTGCTGTTGCTGCTGCTGCTGCTGCTGCTGTTGCTGCTGCTGCTGCTGCTGCTGTTGCTGCTGCTGCTGCTGCTGCTGCTGCTGGTGCTGGTGCCCGCTGCTGCTGCCTCTGTGCCTGCTAGTTTCTGTGTGTATAAGCAAAGGCCTCAAATCTATTTTTGTTGTTTTACATCCTTCTGCGTTTCTTTGTAATATTTTTTGGTTGAGTTGCTGCAGCTTGGAGCCAGCAGGAGCAGCAGCATTGGCTTGTGTGCGTGCAGCAGCAGCAGCAATAGCAGCAGCAGCAAGAGGAGGCAAAGCATTACTACTACTACTACTACTGCTGCTGCTGCTGCTGCTGCTGCTGCTGCTGCTGCTGCTGCACTGCAGCAAAGCAGCAGGCCACGGCTCTAAGAACTCAGGGATCACCACACCCGCGCTGCTGAGGGCCTCCCACCGCGACGCGTTTGCGCGGACGTTGGAGAGGACCTCGCGTCTACACACACAAACACGAGGGTTTAGGGTTTAGGGTTTAGGGTTTAGGGTTTACAGGGTTTAAAGGGTTTTAAGGGTTTATAGGGTAGATGCGTTTCGGTTGTTTTGGCTTTTTAGGGTTTGGGGGAAAGGGGGGTTTACTGGATGTTCTTGCGTTTTTTTTTGTTTTTTATTTTGTACTTCTTTATTAGGGTTTAGGGTTTAGGGTTTAGGGCTTATACTGACTCAACAGCTCCCCCTATATCAACAGCAGCAAGCCCATCAAATAAGGGTTTAGCAACAAAGTTTATAAACCCCATTTGACTGTGTGTTTAGTGTTTAGTGTTTCGTGTCTAGGGTTTAGGGTTTAGGGGGGTTTAGGGTTTAGGGTTTGTACTCACTCAACAGCTCCCCCTATATCAACAGCAGCAAGCTCATCAAAT